TGTTCTTTTTTTTTCCCTGTGAGACAGTCTTGCTCTGCTGCCCAGGCTGGGGTGTAGTGGCAGTCTCTACTTACTACAACCTCCACCTCCTGGGTTTAAACAATTACCATGCCTCAGCCTCCCGAGTAGTTGGAATTACAGGTGCATACCACCGTTCCTGGCTAATTTTTGTATTTCTTGTAGAGATGAGGTTTCACCATGCTGGCCAAGCTAAATCCATCAAGCCATAAATGAACATTTTATTTCTTTGAGACAGGGTCTTGCTCTGTCATGCAGGCTGGTATGCAACGGCACCATCTCAGCTCACTGCAACCGCTACCTCCTGGATTCAAATGATTCTCCTGCCTCCGCCTCCGCAGTAGCTGGGATTATAGGCGCCTGCCATCATGCCTGGCTGATTTTTATTTATTTTTTGGGGGGACAGAGTCTTATTCTTTTGCCCAGGTTGGAGTGCAGTGGCACCATCTCGGCTCACTGCAACCTGTCTCCCGGGTTCAAGTGATTCTCCATCCCCAGTCTCCCCAGTAGCTGGGATTACAGGCATGCACCACCACGCCTGGCTAATTTTTGTATTTTTACTAGAGACAGGGTTTCATCAATTTGGCCAGGCTGGTCTCAAGCTCCTGATCTCAGGTGATGCGTCCACCTTGCCTCCCAAAGTGCTGGGATTACAGGCCTGAGACAGCATGCCCAGCCACCTGGCTAAGTTTTGTATTTTTGGTGGAGATGGGGTTTCACCATGTTGGCCAGGCTGGCCTCGAAATCCTGACCTCAAATGATCTGCCTGCCTCCGCCTCCCAAAGTACTGGGATTACAGGTGTGAGCCATCATGCCCAGCCCTTAAATGAACATTTTCTTTTTTTTTTTTTTTTTTTTTTTTTTTTTTGGTTAATATTTTTCTTTCAGTCCTCCTCCTTGTAATATGGACCAGGTGTATATTGTTAATCTTTTAGCTCACCATTTCATGGCTAGATGAACTCTCCCAGGTTTGGACTGGATGTTAAGCAGTAAGTATATTTTCCATAGTGGCATACGAACATTTTCCCAAATGTCCTTCAATTAAAATCAAAAGCTTAATATTTTTTCAGAATGCTTTCTTTAAAATCTCTCTAATCATCAACATAGTATAATAAAACTGGGAAAGACGTGCACAAACATTTACTAAAGATAGAATTTTCAGTGGTTTTGAATTTTTTTTTCTTTATACTTATTTGTATTTTCTAAATTTTATTTAATCTGTATTGCTTTTACAATTAGAAAAAATATATTTAAGTTAAATTTTTTTTTTTTTAAATTGTACTTTAAGTTCTGGGGTACGTGTGCAGATCTTGCAGGATTGCTGCATAGGTACGCACATGTCATGGTGGTTTGCTGTCTCCATCCCTGTCACCTACATCAGGCATTTCTCCCAATATTATCCCTCCTCAACCTACCTGCCCCCTACTGTCCCTCCCCCTAACCCCCCAACCCCCAATAGACCCCAGTGTGTGATGTTCCCCTCCCTGTGCCCACGTGCTCTCATTGTTCAACACCAGCTGATGAGTGAGAACATGCAGTGTTTAGTTTTCTGTTCCTGTGCCAGTTTGCTGAGAATGATGGTTTCTAGATTCATCCATATCCCTACAAAGGACATGAACTCATCATTTTTTATGGCTGCAGAGTATTCCATGGTATATATGTGCCACATTTTCTTTGTCCAGTCTATCACTGATGGGCATTTGGGTTGGTTCCAGGTCTTTGCTATTGTAAACAGTGCTGCAATGAACATACATGTGCATGTGTCTTTATAGAATGATTTATAATCTTTTGGATATATGCCCAGTAATGGGATTGCTGGGTCAAATGGAATTTCTATTTCTAGATCCTTGAGGAATTGCCACACTGTCTTCCACAATGGTTGAACTAATTTACACTCCCACCAACAGTGCAAAAGTGTTCCTATTTCTCCACATCCTCTCCAGTATCTGTTTTCTCCAGATTTTTTTTTTTTTTTTTTTTTTGAGATGGAGTTTCCCTCTTGTTACCCAGGCTGGAGTGCAATGGCGCAATCTCGGCTCACCGCAACCTCCGCCTCCTGGGTTCAGGCAATTCTCCTGCCTCAGCCTCCAGAGTAGCTGGGATTACAGGCACGCGCCACCATGCCCAGCTAATGTTTTGTATTTTTAGTAGAGATGGGGTTTCACCATGTTGACCAGGATGGTCTCGATCTCTTGACCTCGTGATCCACCCGCCTCGGCCTCCCAAAGTGCTGGGATTACAGGCGTGAACCACTGCGCCCGGCTTCTCCAGATTTTTTAATAATCACTATTCCAACTGGCATGAGATGGTATCTCAATGTGGTTCTGATTTGCATTTATCCAATGACTACTGATGATGAGTATTTTTTTCATGTTTGTTGGCCTCATAAATGTCTTCTTTTGAAGAGTATCTGTTCATATCTTTCACCCACTACTTTTGAATGGTGTTTTTTCTTGTAAATCTGCTTTACTTCTTTGTAGATTCTGGATATCAGCCCTTTGTCAGATGGGTAGATTCCAAAAGTTTATTTCCCATTCTGTTGGTTGCTGGTTCACTCTAGTCATGAAATCCTTGCCTATGCCTATGTCCTAAATGGTATTGCCTAGGTTTTCTTCTAGGGTTTTTAAGGTATTAGGTCTTATGTTTAAATCTTTAATCCATCTGGAGTTAATTTTAGTGTAAGGTGTAAGGAAGGGGTCCAGTTTTAGCTTTCTGCATATGGCTGGCCAGTTTTCCCAACAGCATTTATTAATCAGGGAATCCTTTCTTCATTGCTTGTTTTTGTCAGATTTGTCAAAGATCAGATGGTTGTAGATGTGTGGCATTGCTTCCGAGGACTCTGTTCTGTTCCACTGGTCTGCATCTCTGTTTTGGGACCATGCTGTTTTGATTACTGTAGCCTTGTAGTATAGTTTGAAGTCAGGTAGCATGATGTCTCCAGCTTTGTTCTTTTTGCTTAGGATTGTCTTGGCTATGTGGGCTCTCTTTTGGTTCCATATGAAGTTTAAAGTGGTTTCTTCCAGTTCTGTGAAGAAGGTCAAAGGTAGCTTGATGGGGATAGCACTGAATCTATAAACTACTTTGGGCAGTATGGCCATTTTCACAATATTGATTCTTCATAACCATAAGCATGGAAAGTTTTTCCATCTGTTTGTGTCGTCTCTTATTTCCTTGAGCAGTGGGTTGTAGTTCTCCTTGAAGAGGTCCTTTACATCCTTTGTTAGTTGTATTCCTAGGTTATTTTTTTTTTTTTAAAGATGGGGTTTTACCATGTTGGTCAGGCTGGTCTTGAACTCCTGACCTAAGGTGATCCACCTGCCTTGGCCTCCAAAGTGCTTTGATTACAGGCATGAGCCACCACGCCCAGCCTCCTAGGTATTTAAAATTTTTTTTTTTTTATTAGAGACAGGGTCTGTGTCGCCCAGGCTGGAGTGCAGTGATGTGATCTCTGCTCACTGTAGGCTTGACCTCCTGGGCTCCAGTGATCCTCCAACCTTAGCCTCCCTGGTAGGTGAGATCACAGGCATGCATCACCACACTTGGCTAATTTTTTGTGTGTATTTTTTGTAGACACAGAGTTTTGCCATGTTACCCAGGCTGGTCTCAAACTCCTGGGCTCAAGCAATATGCCCACCTCAGCCTCCCAAAGTGCTAGGATTACAGGTGTGAGCCACCGTGCCCAGCTGATTCTAGTGTATCAATGTCAGGACACCTTGGCTGAGAAGCACAACTTCAGGAACATTACATTTGTCACTCTGTTGATTTGTTCCACAGTCACTGCTTATGTATTCAAGTGGGTCAACTATGTTCAGTAATAATATGAAATTTAGATTCTTACTTATCTGACATCACTGTTACCTATCTTTGCAGCTTACAGAGGCATCTGCTTTTAGATGTAATAAAATAAAAATTAGCTCAGGCCAAGAAAGTAAAAATATTCCCTGTCATTCAAGAGGATGGAACAGGCCGGGCGTGGTGGCTCACGCCTATAATCCCAGCACTTTGGGAGGCCGAGGCGGGTGGATCACTAGGTCAAGAGATTGAGACCATCCTGGTCAACAAGGTGAAACCTCGTCTCTACTAAAAATACAAAAATTAGCTGGGCATGATGGTGAGTGCCTGTAGTCCCAGCTACTCGGGAGGCTGAGGCAGGAGAATTGCTTGAACCCAGGAGGCGGAGGTTGCAGTGAGCCGAGATCGTGCCATTGCACTCCAGTCTGGGCAACAACAGCGAAACTCCGTCTCAAAAAAAAAAAAAAAAAAGAGGGTGGAACAACACACACATAAAGCAGCTGCAAAGTCCACAGGAAGTACTTTTCCCTAGCTGTAAAATGTCAAAATATCCCCATCTTCGAGTAACTACTGTTTTCTTACTGAGGAATATTGGTCATTAAAGTAATGGACTGCTTGCAATTATATGAGTAAACATGAATATTCTTGCTTGGCAGATCTAAGTCACTCAATTTACAAGTATAATTTCTATGTAGCCTCAATTTACAACCAAGGTATAGAGCTTCAAGTAGGAAGTTTTTGAAGACAAAAATCCCAGATTTATGTTAACTTTGTTGTTTCCAAGGAAACAGAACCCTGGGTCTGCTTCACAGTTCAGACAGACCTGATGTTGACCCCTTTATACAGCCTTACACTGTTTTTAGCCTATCAAAACAATGCTTTGTTTAAATTTCACATAAATTCCACTGTTCTCCCAAATCCTACTACAACTCTACCTTTTCTTTGTTAAGATGTTCCATGGTTCTTCTGATATAGAGCCAATAAACCTTGCCCTATCAGACTACAGATTTGTCCCTAGTAGTCTTTATTCGATTGGACTAGAGAGGATGACACAGTAATGATTTTCAAAGGATATTACGACCTGCATTAAAAGAACAAACCCAGCCAAAAGCTGTAGAGAGAACACGAGACTGTGAAAAAATAGGCAAAAAGACAAAATACAGCAAGAAAGACTTATTGTAAAAGGATACTAAACAGAAGAACAATGTGTGTTTCAGCTACAAACTGGGCTTGGCTGCTTCCATGGATATAATTCTAGAAGGGAAAAAAGACAAAATGGAATCTTTAAGTATATACATTAAATGTTAGTATGCTAACCCTAAAATGGGATATTTTAAACTATGAAAGTATTAATTCACTTGATAAACCATGTGACATACTCTGGGTCTGTGGCATTCATCAGTAAGTTTGATTACTATAAAGCTATTTCTGTACTATCTATTCTCTATTTGTCTTTTCATTGTACTTACACTGTTTTTTTTTTTTTTTTTTGAGACAGGGTCTTACTCTGTTACCCAGGCTGGAGCGCAGTGGCATGATCATAGCTCACTACAACCCCAAAGTCCTGGCTGCAGCGATCCTCCTGCCTCAGCATCCCAAGTAGATGGGACTTCAAGTAGGCACTACCATGCCTGCTCAGCTAATTTTTACATTTTTATTAGAAATAAGATTTTGCTATGTTGGCCAGGCTGTTCTTAAACTCCTGGGCTCAAGCAATCCTCCTACCTCAGCCTTCCAAATGCTTGGATATTGTACTTATATTTTCAACAACAGAATATGTCAGAAAACTAGTTTTGTTCTTTTTTTCTTTTGTTTTTCACAGAGATGGCGTCTCACTCTGCTCCCCAAGCTGGTCTTGAACTCCTGGCCCCAAGAGGTCCTCCCACCCCAGACTCCCAAAGTGACAGGATCACAGGTATTAGCCACCGCACCTGGCCCTGATTTTTTTTTTTTTTTTTTTAAAGGAGATGAATCTTGCTATGTTGTCCAGACTGGGCTAGAACTCCTGGGTTCAAGTCATCCTCCTGCCTCAGCCTCCAAAGTAGCTGGGACTATAGATGCATAACACTGTACCTGGTGAGAAAACTAGTTTTTTTTTTTTGAGACGGAGTTTCGCTCTTGTTGCCCAGGCTGGAGTGCAATGGCACGATCTTGGCTCACTGCAACCTCCGCCTCCTGGGTTCAGGCAATTCTCCTGCCTCAGCCTCCTGAGTAGCTGGGATTACAGGCATGAGCCACCATGCCCAGCTGATTTTTTGTATTTTTAGTAGAGACGGGGTTTCACTATGTTGACCAGGATGGTCTCGATCTCTTGACCTCGTGATCCACCCGCCTCGGCCTCCCAAAGTGCTGGGATTACAGGCGTGAGCCACCGCGCCCAGCCGAAAACTAGTATTTAAGTGTACAAGACCATGAGGTACAGTAAGGTAGCCTCCATGAAGAAAGGGATGTTTTTCTTATTTATCACTATATTTAATAATACTTAGCACAGTGCTTAGAAACAGTAGATGCTCAAGTACTTAATCAATTTTTCTATTTAGTTGAAGCCTGTCTTTCATTCTTAGCTAGCTTGGTTAGAAGGACTCACCAAATGCAATAAGGCACTTCCCACTTGTAAGAATACTGCATGGTCTTACCAGTGATGGAAGCTTGTTAACACAGAGAGATTGAAAAGTCAAGACTAAATCTAGCTCCTTCATATGCTGGCACTGTCCTCACAGGGTAATAATCATTGAGTTAACTTTGGTCTACAAAAGAAAGAAATTCCAGACTTCCCTTACCACATGTCCTGTGTGGGGATTCTTATGGGCATATGGTGGTCCTCTTATATGGTTCCACATTTGACCAGATGTCATAGCAAGCACAAAACACTAGGAAACAAAAAATAATAAAATATTTATGGTCAAACTGTTCTTGCCTTGATTAGATAATAGAAATATGAAAATGTGCATCTGTTTAGGTAAGACATAGAATTTTTTACAGATAAATGATTTATTAACACTTATATTTCATCCCAAGGACCATAATTCGGTAACACTTACTTCAAAAGAAAAACACTATTTTAAAATGATAACTATGCACACACAAATTTCAAAATTGAATACTAAAAAGGCTTTTTATAATATTTTCTGTCCAGGCATGGTGGCTCATGCCTGTAATCCCAGCACTTTGGGAGGCCAAGGTGGGTGGATCACCTGATGTCAGGAGTTGGGGACCAGCCTGGTCAACAGGATGAAACCCCATTTCTCCTAAAAATACAAAAAATTTAGCTGGGCGTGGTGACACATGCCTGTAATCCCAGCTACTTTCGAGGCTGAGGCAGGAGAATTGCTTGAGCCCAGGAAGCAGAGGTTGCAGTGAGACGAGATGGTGCCACTGCACTCCAGCCTGGGCAACAGGGCAAAAGTCCGTCTCAAAAAAAAAAAAAAAAAGTAATATTTTCTGAACAACTAGAGATTTTCATAGAGATGACAGTCTGTCATTTAGGTCGAATAAAGGGTAGGTATAATCAGTTCCTTGAAGCTCTGGCCATCCTAATGAGATAATGAATGAAACAAACTGATTTTAAGACAGAAAATAAAAATATAAAAACTATTTTCCTCAGCTAAGAAATAAACAAAATGTTACTTCTCCTGTAAAAGCTTACCTAAAAATACATTATTAGGAGTTTTATTCAAATAATTTTTTGTCTTCTAAATTCACTCACCAAAGCTGCAAAAGCCCATCCAGTTTTATTAAAGAGAAATTCCATATTGCTTCTTCGAAGGTACACAAGTCCACCAATAACAGCCAAAAGCAATCCCAACATAAGGGGACCAGCATAATTTGGGGGTCTAATCACTCTAATCTAATGGAAAGGAGAGAAAAACATGTGAAAGTATAAATTTCTTTACTAATTATATGGGTCAAAATAAAATCTGAAGTGAAAGCAATCAAAATTAGTATGGTTACTTTCAGAAAAAATAATCCTTTTATTTTATCCCAATCAAAATAGTCTATAATGTAACCTAAAATAGGACAGAATAGGTACAATATTCTATTTAACCACAACATAACATCTTTTTTTTTTTTTGAGACGGAGTTTCGCTCTTGTTACCCAGGCTGGAGTGCAATGGCGCGATCTCGGCTCACCGCAACCTCCGCCTGCTGGGTTCAGGTAATTCTCCTGCCTCAGCCTCCTGAGTAGCTGGGATTACAGGCACGCGCCACCATGCCCAGCTAATTTTTTGTAGTTTTTAGTAGAGACGGGGTTTCACCATGTTGACCAGGATGGTCTCGATCTCTTGACCTCGTGATCCACCCGCCTCAGCCTCCCAAAGTGCTGGGATTACAGGCGTGAGCCACCGCGCCCGGCCGAACATCTTTTAGATTAAGAAGGATTTGCCAAGTACAAATGGATAACCTGCAAACTTGAGAAGGTCGAAAGAGTGGTTTCCATGCTGAATTCAACAGGGTAGTACAGGGTGTTTTGTAATTTCACTCATTCATCAGGATGATTCTGTTTAATGCTACTTATGAAGGGACTGCCAAACTACTACCACCACAGTGATATGGTGACAAGACTAATTAAGGCCTCCTAGTAAGATTCAAAAAGAAACCATCTATAAAGTGGGGGAACTTACATTGACATCAGTTCTGTCTGCGATCCACCGGGCAATCTGCTCAGCTGAAAAACCCCGCACCTGCAACTCATATGTATCACCCCGTTTGGGTTTCCCTTTTGCAGGAAAGTTGATGAAAGTTGGAGCCGAATTCATGTTTAGCTGAATAAAAAGGAGCCCATGAAAATATACATTATCAGGAAAATAATCTTAATCACAGTTAACATCTTGAAATTTAGGCATTTTACAAATATGAGGAGGCTTGGGTTTAGATAGGTTAAGTGATTTGATTTGCCTAAGGAGAGTGAAAACTGGAGGAGCCAGGCTTCAAAAGCAAAGCTGCCTGTGATCTTAAGTATTACACTTGACTGACCGAATATATATTTCTTAGTATTTCCTGTGTTGTCTTCTCAAATATATCATCATGTCATGATGGAGAATAGAGGAATGTGATGCTCATCAGTAAACATTTATGAACCTTCTTAGAGGTGACTACTTCTGCATATAGCCACCATTTTGTATTGTTTTTCACTGCCATTTTAGAGCATTATCTTATTATCTTGGTTCCTTCAAATTGAGAATGCACTCTATTTGGAGCTTACCTCAGCTTACATAAAATTATCTCAGTGCTCACAAATGTATTCATTTTGCATTATCTCTGAACAGATTAAAATATCTGTGGTATGGCAAAGTTTCCATTCTAGTGGAGTAAAATACAGGTTTCTTAGCTAGGAATGCATATTTGGTCAGATCTTTTTGACATATATGTGTATATACCACCAGAAAACATGTAATATTGCTATCTGTTTTATTTTAACATAAATGGTATCATATTAATGGTATCATTCTGCAATATGCTTTAACTCAACCATGTTTGAAAGATCTATGATATATATACATATGTATGTGTATATTACATGTACACACACATACATCACTTATATGCACCTGCATTTATGTAAATGCAGGTGCATATAAATATATAAAGCCAACCTCACTCTCAAAGTTACTATGCTGTTGTTGGACTTAAGAGAGTTTTTTTCCTTTTTATCAACTAAAAATTATGTTGCAGTGAGCATCCTTATGCTTATCTCCCTATACCCATGTGAAAGTGATTCTCTAGAAATGGGATTGTTAGGTCACCATTTTTAAATTAGCCGGAGCAGTGGCTCACGCCTGTAATCCCAGCACTTTGGGAGGCCAAGGTGAGCAGATCATGAGGTCAAGAGACCATCCTCGCCAACATAGTGAAACCCCATGTCTACTAACAATACAAAAATTAGCTGGCCGTGATGGTGCATGCTTGTAGCCCCAGCTACTTGGGAGGCTGAGGCAGGAGAATTGCTTGAACCTGGGAGGGGGAGATTGTAGTGAGCCGAGATGGTGCCACTGCACTCCAGCCTGCTGACAGAGTGAGACTCCATCTCAAAAAAAAGACAAATAAACATTTTAAAATTAAAATGGATATAGTGGCCAGGCGTGTTGACTCACGCCTGTAATCCTAGCACTTTGGGAGGCCAAGGCAGGTAGATTACTTGAGGCCAGGAGTTTGAGATCAGCCTGGCCAACATGGTAAAACCCCGTCTCTATTAAAAATACAAACATTAGCCCGGCGTGGTGGTGAGTGCCTGTAATCCCAGTTACTAAGGAGGCTGAGGCACGAGAATCACTTGAACCCAGGAGGCAGAGGTGGCAGTGAGCTGAGATTGTGCCACTGCACTCCAGCAAGACTCTGTCTCCAAAAAAAAAAAAAAAAAAAAAAAAAAAAACATGGATACAGCCAAATTGCCCTCCAAAGTGGCTGTGCCGAAATACACTACTACCCAACAATGTAGTGATGTATTCATTTCCCTGTATCCTTGCCAAAAGTTGATCTGATGGGTGAAGACTGAACTTTATCATTATTGTACTACTAATTTGTGTTTCCCTGATTACTAACAAGATAGCTTTATAACAAATTAGTTATTTGAAAACATCTTTTTGTTTTTTGAGAAGGAGTCTCACTCTGTTGCCCAGGCTGCAGTGCAGTGGTGCAATCTAGTCTTACCTCAACCCCCACTTCCTGGGTTCAAGTGATTATCCTGCCTTAGCCTCCCGAGTAGATGGGATTACATGCATGTACCATGATGCCCAGCTACTTTTTTTCATATTTTTAGTAGAGACGGGGGTTTTACCATGTTGGCCAAGGTAGTCTCAAACTAATGACCTCAAGGGATCCACTCGCCTCAGCCTCACAACGTGCTGTGATTAAAGGCATGAGCCACCACACCCAGCCTGAAAACATCTTATAGCTTAATGACACAATCAACAGAGTGAAAAGAAGACCTATGGAATGGGAGGAATTATCTGCAAATCATTTATCTAATAAGGAGTTAATATTCAGAACAGTCTGGGTACAGTGGCTCATGCCTGTAAGCCAGCACTTTGGGAGGCCAAGGCAGGTGTATCACTTGAAACCAGGAGTTCGAGACCAGCCTGGGCAGCATGGTGAAACCCCGTCTCTACTAAAAATACAAAAAATTAGCCAAGCACGGTGGCACATGCCTGTAATCCCAGCTACTTAGGTGGCTGAGACATGAGAATTGCTTGGACCTGGGAGGAAGAGATTGCAGTGAGCTGAGATTGCGCCACTGTACTCCAGCCTGGGCGACAGAGTGAAGCTCTGTCTCAAAAAACAAACAAAGAAACAAAATACAACAATAACAAAACTTATAAAATATAAAGACCTCCTACAACTCAGCAACAAAAAACAACTTGATTTAACAATGGGCAACGCACACACACAATGGGCAAAGAACTGAATAGATATTTCTCCAAAGAAGATACACAAATGGCCAACAAACACATGAAAAGATGTTCAACATTACTAATCATTACGGAAATAAAAACCAAAACCACGAGATACCACCTCACTCATTAAGATGGCTATTACCCAAAACAAACAAACAAAAAACTAGAAAACAACAAGTGGTTACAAGCATGTGGAGAAATTGGAACACCTGTGTACCACTGGTGGGAAAATAAAATGGTGCATCTGCTATGGAAAACAGCATGGAGGTTCTCCAAAATATTAAAAATAGAATTACCATATGATCTAGCAATTCCACTTCTAAATGTTTAACCAAAAGAAATGAAAGTAGGTCTTAGAGAGATTATTTGAATATTCATGTTCATAGCAGCATTGTTCACAATAGCCAAAAGGTGGAAGTAACCTAAGTATCCACTGACAAATGTTTGAGTAAACAAAAGAAGGTGTATACATACAATGCAATATTATTCAGCTTTGAAAAGGAAGGAAGTTCTGACACATGCTATAATATGGATGAACATTGAGGACACAATGCTAAGTGAAATAAGCTAGTCACAAGAAGACAAATACTATATGATTTCACTTACAGTAGGTACCTAGAGTAGTCAAATTCATAGCATACAGTTAGATAGAAGGAGTAAGATCTAATGTTCGATAGCAGAGTACGGTGACTATAATTAACAACAATGTATTATATATTTCAAAACAGCTAGAAGAGAGGACTTGAAATGTTTCCAACATATAGAAATAATAAATATTCAAGGTGACAGATACTCCAACTATCCTGACTTGATCATTCTATGCAGGTAACAAAATATCACATGTACATATTTATAAATATGTATAAATATTATATTATCAGTAAAAAAAACTATTTGAGGTAGAAAAAACTGGTTTTTTTATTTTTACAAATCACTAACAGAAGTTATGTGTTATCTTCTTAAAATAAATGGAATTAAAATTTTTAATTTCTGAAATAATTATAACCTAAATAGTAGAGAATTAAAAAGCAATTTTTTTTGAGACAAAGTATTGCTCTATCATCCAGGCTGGAGTGCAGTGGCATGATCTTGTCTCACTGCGCCCTCCACCTCCTGGGTTCAAGCAATTTTCCTGTCTCAGCCTCCCAAGTAGCTGGGATTACAGGCGTCCAACACGACGCCTGGCTAAAGTTTGCATTTTTAGTAGAGATGGGATTTCACCATGTTGGCCAGGCTGGTGTCAAACTCCTGACCTCAAGGGATCCCCCCGCCTTGGCCTCCCACCAAGTGTTGGGATTACAGGTGTGAGCCACCACGCCCAACCTCAATTTCTTCAACTCTAGAAATTGTTTCCTTTGGACTAATAAATTCTAAATGCACTAACCCTTTAGGTTACAACATTTTTATAAATGCACTGATTCTGATTTATGGAAATTGCTATGTGAGATTGGAATATGAATAGCACAATGAAGGATATATTGTAAAATGGGAACATTAAGCCATTTTTTCAACATTTACTGAATACTCATTATGTGATTAGCACTGATAGCTATAGGATATGGCTCTGCCATTAACTAAGTAGTAACTATATTCTAAGGGAGACTTTCAAACAACTACAGAGCTAACTCTACTGTAAGACAAAATGTGAATAAACATATAATAGAAATTTAAGGCAAGTAGTATAACAATACAAGCAAAGGAGTGGCTCACTTTTTATCTGGAAAAGTTGAAAAAGCTTACAGGGAGTATCTGAAACAAGGCTTAAAATGAAAGCAGAATTTTGAGAGTGGAGAGAAAGCAGGCAGGGAAGAAAGGATGCTTCATGTTGTTGTAAATGAACAATCAACAGTGCTGACATAAGAGAGTGCATCAAAGAATATGATAATGGGAATGGTGTGACTGGAGTAAAGAGTATATGAAGTTAGAAAGACTAAGGAATTATGGCTTCAGTCTATACACTACTCCTTCCAAAAGTGTGTTGTAAACTGGGGGCGGTGGCTCACACCTATAATCCTGGCACTTTGGGAGGCCAAGGCGGGCGGATCAGAAGGCCAGGAGTTTGAAATCAGCCTGGCCAACATAGTGAAACCCTGTCTCTACTAAAAATACAAAAAATTAGCCAGGTATGGTGGTGGGTGTCTATAATCCCAGCTACCTGGGAGGCTGAGGCAGGAGAATCGCACGAGCCCGGGAGACAGAGGTTGCAGTGAAACAAGATCGAGCCATTGTACTCCAGCCCGAGTGAGACTCCATCTCAAAAACAAAACAAACAACAAAAAAAAGTGTGTTCCATGGAATCTAGCCAAATGCTCCATTAAGTGATCTGATAATATGAGAAATTCTGTATATTAGAGCCCCCACTGGAAAATATA